GGAGACGAAAACGATGACCAAAGAAGTCTGAAAATATTATTATTTAGAAAAAAATTTGATTCAAATTTTAGTGTTAACGTAGAATTTAAACTCACTGAAACCCTCAGCAATTTAGTCCTTTTTCAGTTCGGGAGCGATGTTCGGGCCAGCGCCGTTCAGCTTCACGATGAGGTACTTACTATCTGAAAATTTAAAAATTCAGTACTTATATTAAGCGACGAGTTTTCTGACCTTGATGCATATCGACCTTTATCTGGACGTTCTGAGAAGCATCGCAATCAAACCGGCGACCAGTGTCCTGAAAAAAAATCAATGATTATTCGAAAAAATAATTTAAGGATTTTTTTTTTTGAATTTACCTCCAACCACTTTTTCAAAGCTTCTTCGATCGTGTCGTTTTGCGTCCTGATCTCTATTTGCTCCAAAATACGACTATGGAAGCCTTCTTGAAGCGCCACATTGGGAGCATGCTTGGCGAGCTTCACATTGGAAACGAAACTGCCGTTGGATGGCCTCGGGAGTTGCTAAAATTCAATTGTCGTCAAAATTTTGGTTTCAACCTCAAAGATGTCATCGAAAGCCTCTTTGACGTCGCCAGTCCGAACGACGTGCTTCAGCCAGCTTGGTTCGGAGAGAGCAACGTTTTGTCTCTTCTTGGAACAGTTCAAGAGCACTGGACCATGTCGGGTCAACGTCCATCATATTCTTTCGTTCTCGGCTTGTTCTTCTGCTGATGAGCTGATGATATCTTCCGTCAGTCGCTCCGAGCTGTTCAACAAGTTGACAACGGCATTCACAAAACAATCTTCGCCAGTGTTGTTTGGGAGTGAGAGCGCTTCAAATTATTGAATATTTTAGCCTAAGGAATTTCAATTTTTACCGTTGGCTGTTTTGAGCTTCTTCTTCATTACCGGCTGATTTTCATCAGAATCCGAGCCGTGGTCCTTGCTAATCTCTTCTTCATCTTCTGGAAAAGAAAAGCGTTGACAAGAAGTTTTGAGAAGGGATAGAAAAAAAATAGGAAAAAAAAAAAAAAAAATCAAACTTTTTCGATTTTTCGTTGATTGATTCCTTCTCGTGGGCTTCGCTGGAACATCGAACGCTGGAAGGCCAACTCCTTTCCGCAATCGGTTTGTCTCCAGCAGAGATTCACGATGACAGGAAACTTTGCTTGGGAAGAAGTCGATGAGATGAAGGCCAGTCAAAGAGCGCACTCGACTGAATGCCACGAAGATGCCAGAGTGAAAATATCGAGCGAGTTAAATATCGCATTGTCCACCGTCATTCAGAAGACTCAAGACCCAAGAAAGATATTTATTTTCTGCGATTTTATTTAGAATTGAAAAATTGAGAAATTATTATCTGAGAAAAATTGAAAATATTTTGTTTGAGAAAAATTGAAGTTTTGTTTGAAAAAAGAAAAATTTTTGTTTGAGAAAAATTGAAAAATTGAGAAATTGATAGATGATCTTTTTTTTGTGAAAAACCAAAATTCAAACCTTGGCTTTTATGGATGGTAGCAGCATAGGCGACTGTCAGAGGAACTGCGAACGGCGACGTCTTTCGTCGACTGACATTGAAGACGGCGTTCACTCGTTCGATTTTGGTTTCACTGTCGAAACCGTCAAAAAACGCCTACAGGCTGACAACCCCGCCATCTCGTTTTTCACGGTTCGCAAGTATCCTTGGCTGCCGTTGACAAGTCTAAAATTATTTGTTTTAACTATAAATATTTTTTTTTGATATAAACTCACCTTTTCAACGTCAAGGTTCCGGCGCAGCATAACACGAGCGTTTTCAGCCAGTGTTAATTTCGCCGCCAGTCCGCCACACAGCCTGCCGGTTGGGTCTTCTTCTTTCATTAGCGGCTTCGTTGATGTGGCTTTCTTCTTCTAAAAATAACAATTTTTTTCGATTATGAAACTGAAAACAAAAACCTTTTTGACGATGGAAAACTCCTTCTTCTGATAAATCCTGCTCTTTCGAATTCGATCCTTTGCTGTCTGTCCGTCAAGGATCTCGTCCATAGCCGAGTTTTCTTCGACGTCCTCGGCAAGAACTGTGAACGTTTTCACTCCAAGTTGCTTCAAGATCGTCGTGTTGAAGAGCGAAACTTCGTCGTTAGTTGAGAAAAGCGCGATTGCCGTTGGGTCATTTTCCAGAATGCGTAGATAATATTCCGCAGCTTCTTCGATTGAGCACGGCCCACTTTCATTTTTTTCGAGGTTCCTGATCAGTCGAGTTTTCAAGAGATCGTAGTCTTTTTCGTCCAGTTTGTCGATGCGAAGACGTGCCATCACTTCACCAAACTTCTTGTCATCCTTCTGTCGCATGTTGGCCGTGAGTTCTTGATAGTCGAACAAGCGCCACAAGTTTATTGGCGGAGCAATACTGCCAAAAACTTCGGAAATAATTTCCGGTTTCAGGGGCTCGAAGACTGGCTTGGCCATGACTGGGGGCAGTTGAAGAAGGTCTCCGAAAGCGAGAATGTTGACACCGCCGAACAATTCACGGTTTCCCTTGATTTGTTGAAGTCGGAGATGAAGCTTGGTGAGAATAATATTCGAACACATAGAAACTTCGTCAATAATAATCAGTTTGACGTTTCTGAGCAGTTCTCGTGAGCTTCCAGCGTCTTCGAAATCGGTTCCTTTGAAGTCCAGCATCCGCCCGTGTTGAACCTAAAAAATTTCAAATTTTGGAAATCAGAAAACGGAAAAAAAGAACCTCAATCCGGAAAAGGCCATGAATTGTGTTTCCGCGAATGTTCAGTGCGGCCAAGCCGGTTGGAGCTGCCAATAGCACCGCCGGTTTTGTTGAAGCTGTCCGTGTTTTTGTGTAGGACATCGTCAACTGGTCAGCGAGCATGTTGATCAGGAAAGACTTCCCAGTGCCTGCCGTTCCAGAAACAAAATTCAAGATGGGCTTCTTCGGTTCATCCTGAAACAATGGATCTTTAGTTTGAGTTCGTCTGAAACTTGTGATAATAATCAAATCATTAAGCAGAAAAAAACTTGCCTGATTCTGTTTGGTCGCTTGCGCATGAATAGCTCCAATAACAGACGAGAAGATTTCCTTCTGCTGTTGATTCATGCGTCCCAAGTTCTTTTCGAAGATTTCCGGATCGACTTTTCGTTCCGGCACGCGGGTGACTGGTTCATTAGTCGAAGCTTCTTCGTCGTCTTCGTTCGTGTTCTCCTCCTGCATAGCTTTCTGAAAGTTTCAAAGTGGTTAATAAATTTATCGAAAAATTTTGACAAAAAGTTTCAACCCGAAAAAACTCACCTTCCAAGCTTGCATTTTCTCTTTCCGACTTTTGCTATCCGTTTTGATCTTTTGAACAGAGTTCAAAAAGATAAATGTCGTCGGCAGCTGGCTGGCTGGTCAATTCGACTCGTCCATGTGCCTGAATTTTGGAAATTTTGAAGGAATTTTCTACATATTTAACAGATTTTTCCTACTCTTTCAAATATGAAAAAATAGCAAAAAAATGAAAAAAAGAAATTCTTTGCCAGGTAAAAGCCTCTTCAGCGTGATCTTTGCGGGATTTCTTCTCGCCAAGGAACGAACGCCATACAAAGTCTGCGGAAATAGTCTTTGGCAGACTTTATATCGCCTTCAACGTCAGGAAGAAAAGTGCGCAGACCTGTTTAAATGTTTTTAGTTCTCAAAAAACCTGCGTTTTCGTTTCCGAAAAATTTTGTCACTTTCTTTTTGCCTTGAAGGTAGTCGAAGGCAAGGCAAACCCGTTTCCAGCCGGAAAACAAAACCACGGCGATCGGATGTCTCAACCGATTTGTGCCAGTAAATTGGCTTTGCTTTTCGGTGGGCACTACTGGATGTGCCATGAGCTGCTCAATTCCCGCTGCGAAAACGAGCTCCTTTTGACAGCTTCCCTCTTTCCGCGACTTCAGAAGTTCATCACAACGTTGAAAAGCGAAACTCTGAAAAAAATTAGAATCTTTTGAATAAAATTTTGAAACTAAAAAATTTCTTAAAGGAAGAAAACTTTTCATTAAAAAAGTTCTTGAAAAAACTGTTTGTGAAATTGAAACTAAAATTTTTGATAAAATTTAAGAAAAAAAAAAAAACTAGCCTCCAGCTCTTTTGGCCTTCCGGATAATACGTATCAATGATATTATCAACGTATGCTGGTCCGTCGCCTCCTTTTCGCTTCCTTCGCTGAACAGGTTGTCGATTCCTTTCGCGTCTTCGTTGGTGTTCAGAAAGACATGGCCGGTGTCAAATCCAAACAGTTCGTGCGACAGAAGAACGTCCATTATCTCAACATTCCGTCTCCCGAATTTTTTGCTTTGCTCTTTTTAAATGATTTTGATACCTTTTGGCGAAAAGGTCCAGCTTGCTTTTGAACATCTTCGTTATCGAGGTCGTCAACTTGAACATGTCCCATAGACTGACTCCTTTGGACTTCCTGAACCAATTTTATTCTTGCTCGAAAGAATACATTGAAAAAAAATGAAAAAACTATTTTTTTTTTTTTTTTGAAATTCTCAAACTAATGTCCTCTTTCCTTCTCCAAATAATTGTTTTGCGGGACCCCAAACCGGGCAGCTCCTCTGAGAAGCCGAGAATCGTGGTTTTGGCCATCACGGGTCTCAGAAAGCCAAACCTAATTTTTTCATTTTTTTTCCTCTCACTTTTTTTTCAAAACCTGCATGTTTAGTTTTCTGTCACGTCTTTTTCACTCTCAAACAAGTCTTCGAATGTTTCGGCCAATGAACCTTCAAAAAATAAATTTAAAATTTTCATAATTTAAACTAAATTCTTATCTTTTCTTGAGGTTCAAAGTTTTAAAATAAAAAAAGTTTCGTTCAAATTTTGTTTCTCTTTCTTGGTGCTTGCTGATCACGTCGTGGCGAACTCTGGTTCAGTTTCTGGATCCGGCATGTCGTCAAGTGTTTGTCGAGGAAATCAGCCACTTCTTGTGGAGCCGCGTCTTCTTTTGGTTTCTCCAAGGCCCAAAACAAGCAGTGGACATGCTGAGTTCCTCTTTGCTGGTACTCCAGACGCCAGAAGTAGTGAATGAGCGTTCCCAGCGGTCCTTCTTTTTCCATCAGAACCTGAAAAAAAAATTAGTCAACTGATTTTTTTCCAATTTTTTTTTAAAACTCACATTTGAGAAAAAAGATTCCAAGCGACGTTTGAAGAAACGGCACCAATGCAAGCTGTCCATTGCAATCAACTCGGAAATGTTCGATTCGGTTGCGCCAGGAAAGAATTGTTCATAGATTTCGACGATCTGAGTTATTTTCAGTCTGTAAAATTTCAATGGAATATAC